CACCATATGGGGGCCACGGATCAAAGTCAGGCCATTAGACTCGGTGGCAATCACCACACAACCTGAGCCTTTACACTGGCTCCCAGACCTCATACTTAAAACTCTTCTATTGTGGGTTGTTTTTTTTTTATTTTTAACTCAGACTGCTTTTTTAAGTGATATTTTAATTTTAGAATAATTTTGGATTATTAGTGTTAGTATTATGTAGTTGGCAAGGCAAGTTTCGAACTGCAGAGTTTCTATGCATCTTTCCCCAAATCCTCCCCGTTCTCATCTCACACTTTTGAGATATTTTGTCTCAGCTACTGAGCCACAAGGTCACACTGTTGTTAACTGTAGTCCACACTGTACTCAGATTCCCTTTGCTTTGACTTAACGTCATTTTTGTGTCCCAGGACCCTGTTACATTTATCCCTGCTATCTCCTTAGGCTCCTCTTGGTCTTGGAAGTTTCACAGACTTTCTTTGTTTTCACTAACCCTGACAACTTTGAAAACACTGGTTAAAGATTTTGTAATATGTTCATCTGTTAGAGTGTGTGTGTGTGTGTGTGTGTGTGTGTACATGTGTGGTGTGCATGAATGTCTATATGCATGTACACTTATGTGAGAGTTCTTGTACATGAATGTGCACATACATGTAGAGGCCAGAGGCTGACAACAATTGTCTTCCTCTAGTTCTCTTAGGTTTATTTATTAAGGCAGGATCTTTGCTGAATGCAGAGCTTGAAGACTTTGCTAGCCACCTAGTTCCAGAAATTCCCTGTCTCTGACTCCCAAGATGAGAGATTAGAGATGGGCCACCATGCTTTCATAGCTTACCAGTGGCATATTTCCTCCAACAACAGCACCAACAAGTGGGAGCCAAGTATTCAAATGTCCAAGGCCATAGACGTCATTTATCATTCAAATAACTACAGACACAGAGCCGTCACCTTAATGGCTGTTAACACTGACCTTGGTCACTGGCTAAGGAAATACTTGTCAAGTTTCTCAACTTTAAAGTTTTCTTCTCTCCTCTAGCCCAGCAAGACACTTAAAGGAAAGAAGGCCAAGGAGGCCCCTGCTGTCGTGAAGAAACAGGAGACCAAAATGGTGGATTTTAATCCATCACACAGACACAAGACTCGTGCCCCCCATCTGTTGAGGGTTAGGAAAGGATGTTCCATTTGTAACATCCTCTCCTGCTGCAGGACGCTAGAGCACTTGATTCTTTGGCCTTCAAACCCAAAGTGAGGTCAACCAATGTCTTCCCTAGGGCTCCAGAGAGAAGACAGCATATTGTGGGACTTTTTGGCTTCTATAGTTGTTTGAGCCAATTGCCATAATAAACTGAAAGTGGCATGAGTCTAAACCTTTCAAAGCTCAGCCACAGCGATGTACTTCCTCCAGCAAGGCACCACCTCCAACAGGTTCCACAACCTCCCTGAAACAGTGCCACTAAGTGGGGACCAAGTATTTAAGCCCATGAGTCTATGGGGGGAGGGAATTTCTCATTAAAATCTCCAGACAGATAGGTAGGAAGATAGATAGAAACATACATACATATGTAAACGGATATATAGATATAAACATAGATTGAATCCTTTGTTTGAGAAAAAGGCTAACAACTGATCTTAGTCAATGTAAATAAAGAAATAAGATTGTACTGGCAATCTGTGTATCCCCCAACCCAGTCAAGTTAGCACATAAAATTAGCTACTCTACCATCTGAGCTCACACCAAGTAGCTCAGTTGTGAGGTCCACACTGTCAGTGATTTAAGAATATGCTTGAAGGTCACCCACATAGAAAGAGCTATTTCCCAGGTGTCTTCTGTATCCAGAACCAACCATTCTTTCCCACCACACTCAAATATTTACTTATTTTAATTGATTACTAATTAATTTAATTAATATTTAATCATTGTACACAGTAATGGGTTTTATAATATTTTCACTCAGTGAAAATATTTGTGTATATATGTATATATATGACTATGTATATATATAAATGTGTATGAATATATATGTATATATATGAATATGTACATATATACACATGAATGTGTATATATGTATATATATGATATAGGTCCACATATGACAGAAAACATACAATATTTGTCCTTTTAAATCTAGCTTATTTCACCTAACATACTTATCTCCAGTTTCATCTAATTTATCGCAAATAATAATTCATTCTTTCTTACAGCTGTATAAAATTCCATTCTTCTGCTGATGGATACCCAGACTGATTCTGTAGCTTGACAGCTATGCGTAGTGCTTCAGTAAACACAGACGTGCAGGCATCTCTGTGGCACACTGACTTAAATGTTTTCTTTTTTCTAAAGTTACCCACTACATGAGCATGAGTAGCTGCCATCCAGAGGAGGCTGTATCATGCTTTTAGGACACAAAGCAGTGCCTGCAGCACAGCAGACACCTATACTGTGTATGAGGCCTACAGGACAATATATCATAGCAGATTCCATTTAATGAGGACCTACTATGTGCTAGGAATAGGAAAGTGGTGATATCTCTAGTAACTTCCACCTACCTAGTTAACAAGGAAGGCTCCTAGAGTCTAAGTTGAGTCTCTCAACCAACACCTGCTCTCATCTCCTGTCAGGAGGGCTAGGTGGGAGGGCTCTCTGGAGGAGGCACATTACTACCTCTCCTGGGCTTCTCTCATACTTCTCCAGCTCAGCATCTCCTTCTTCTGCTTGCCCCTTGTATGCCATTGAGGCAGCGTCTGGCTAGACCAGAGCTTGCAGACCAGCCAGCTCCTACCCATGGACAGGTTTTATTTGGCCCACACAGTCATTTTTTTTTTAAATTTTGAATTCACTTTAACATTTAAAAGCTTAGGATTTTGCTTTAAAAATATCCAGCTTTCAGTCTTTGTTTGAAAATTTGGAACATCTGGTGAGGCTGGGTCCCTCTTCCCATATGGCAACGCTGGCTGAAACTAAATGGCATTGACCACGTGGCCAGAGCCAGCATGTCTACACTGAGCCTGAATTAGTGCCTGTGGGACCTGAGGTTGTTAGGGAATGTTGTCCCCAGCTGGGGACTCTAGAAACCGACAAGGACCATCTGGGAGTAATCCGTCCATATCAGACAGATAGGGTACAATGCCAAGTGGAGGTCAAGGCAGCAGACCAGTATCAGATGGTACCACACATCGATGATGTAATAGGACAGGTGTTTTGAGTTTAATCAATACAGGCTGAAGCAGTTCCCCAAAGAGGGTGCCTGTTGGGACCAAACCACATATACAAGAGGCAGAGATGAGGACAAATGGAGTGGAAGGACAGACAAAAAGGCAATCAATTCAAATTCTCCCTCTCTCTGCCCCACTCCCGGTGTGTGTGTGTGTGTGTGTGTGTGTGTGTGTGTGTGTGTGTGCACCAGATTATGGTGCTCATTGGAGTTTGTGACCCTTTGAGTTAAGGTGCCACTACTCTGTAGTATTATCCACCCTAGCCCAGAAAACAGAACTCTTACTGTCTTATCTCACTGCCTCTGGCCCTGACTTGTTTTTAAACTGACACATAAAATATTTATCTTCTCAGTTTTATACATAGGGAAATAAACACTCTAGATTCAGAAGTCATTTACTTTCCTAGCATAAGTTAGAATACCTCCACCTGCTCATCTTAGGGTCTTCTTCATTCCAAGCCCCCCTATAGATCATTTAGTTGGGGCTGTGAGGAACAGGGGTTCATTTAACTTCTTTTCTTTTGTTTTGTTTCATTTTTTGAGACAGGGTTTCTCTGTGTAGCTTTGGTTGTCCTGGATTCACTCTGTAGACCAGGCTGACCTTGACTCACAGCAGTCTGCCTGCCTCTGCCTCCCTCAGTGCTGGGATTATAGGCATGCACCACTGATCCCGGCTTCCATCCAACTTCTTAGTTCTACGTGTTATTCTCATCACCACCACCACCACCATTATCACCACCATCATGACCATCACCATTATCACCATCAACATCACAATTCTTCCATCCTCATGACTACCATCATTATCATCAGGACCATCATAGTCATCACCATAAGCATTACTGCTCTTGCTAGCCCTTTCCTACTATCCTGGACCAAAATGCAGTGATGGGACCACCATTTACTCCCTCCCATCTAACCCCCCACCCCACACACACACCAGGAAGAAACGTTACTGGGTATTTCAGGGGCAAAGACTAGGCCTTTTCCACATCAAGAGGAAGGCTGGGTGATGATGTCATGGTGATCAGGTCCCTTCTAGGGTCTCTATACACCCCCATCATCTATCGGTGTGGCTTTAGCGGCTTTCTATTTGACCCAACACAAATATTTTAACTAGAAGATACTTGTAAACTTTAAAGTGAATGCCAAGGGATTAGGGACATTATATATAGACTGAAGCAGTTTGGAGGAGGTCTTAAACCACCATATACGAATGGGATAGGTCGGTCCCTATGTAGAAAATAAGGGTCCTATATAAAGTGGGTGCGGTCCTTATATAAGCAGTCCTCACAGCAAGCGTAGGTCTTTCCGGAAAGGCTTGTCCACACAGTAAGATTTCTGTCTGGAAACTGTGTCCATATACAGATTAGGACAAAAAGGGAGGGACTTTTACCCAAGCAGCGGCGTTTTTTACAACAGAAAACATCCTTAGAAAAGTGAGGGATTTTCATTGGTGCTCTTGGCTATTACTTGCAAAATGCTGCTCAAATACTAATGACCTTTACACAAAGGTGAAGCTTTACATAAGGATAAAGAGGGTGTGTGCTTCAGAAAGAAATCACAGTATCCTGGCTCTTGTACAGAAGGGGCAAAGAAGGCTAACCGATTTTGTTTTCAGCACAGCGCAGCCCCTGGATATCACTGACTTGAGCACAGACCCTGCACCTGCTCAGGCAGCAGGTGGAAGCCCAGGAGAGGGCGGAGCAACTGGGTCCACTGCTCACGCCGCATTGCCTCCGGTGGCCGCCAGAGGCAGCACCGAGGCTCCTGCCTCACCTCCCCCTCCCCAATCTCCACCCCCCGCCCTCCCGGCTCCTGCTCCCGGGAGCCCCGCAAACCCCGCTCCGCCCGCGCCCCGCACAGCACCGAGGCTCCCGGCCCGGTCCGCCCCGCTGCCCCTCCCCGGGGCCATGGGAGCACCCCCGGGCTACAGACCCTCTGCCTGGGTGCATCTCCTCCACCAGCTGCCCCGCGCCGACTTCCAGCTCCGCCCGGTGCCCAGCGGCTTTGCTCCCCGCGACCAAGAGTACCAGCAGGTGGGACGGCAAACAGGGGCCAGATCCCCCGGGAACTGGAGGCTGGGTCAGAGTTCCTGAGTCTTAGGGGCTGGGGACCCGGCCTACGTTTGTGGGTACAAGTCCACGATTAGAGGTAGAGAGCTCATACCTCGAGGTTCCCCCAGGACGTGCGCTGGGAGTGCAGACCCCTATCTCCCTAAATAAGGGAGAGCCGGGATCCTAGACCCCAAGCGTCCTGAATGGGAGAAGATGGGCCCCCAGCATTTGGGTTTCTGAGACCTGCCTAAGAAGCCAGTCCCCAGGGTCATCTAAGGAAAGGTCCGCGCTTGAGGTCCTAGGCGAGAAGGACCCCGCCCCTACAGGATCCCAGCTGGTAAATATGTTCCAGATTGGGGGTGGGGGTGGGGGGCGGCAAGAGAAAAACGGAGAGGGGCAAGGCTGGGGAGGCTGAGGTCTGGGACAGGGATTGATATCCTCAAACAGCGAATAGAGATTTTAGGGCCAGGGCTGGGAAGATGTGAGGTGAGGTGAGATGAGGATTCAGAGTGCTTTCGGCCTGTCCCAGGACAGAAGGGAGGGGTTGTCAGAGCCCCAGAGAGGGTCGGGGTGGAGATGTGGTTAGGTTGGGGCTACGGAAGACCGGCCTGGGTCCCAGGAGGGAGAGGCTAGTGGTGGAACCTCAGATGCTGGGGTCCCTAGGGAAAGGGGCCCAGCTGCAGCTCCTCGGGGACAGGGGGGGGGGGGGAGTGCTGTCCCCTGACCCAGTTTAATTCAAGTCCTTGACTTTGAGATTAATGAGGAGAAAAGCTTAACTGAGCTGGGGGCCTAGTGGGGGGCTGAGAGTTGGCTCTGCCTTTCCCTCAGGTCTGAACCTCTGCGGATGTCCAGGGTGGTTTCTGGGAAAGGGGCACAGGGTTCGGAGAGCTTCGAGGGAGGGGGTGTTCCCAGAAAAGCAACAAGGGGGAACGTGTGCTGATGTGCTTGCTATTTGGGTCATGGCTGGCACAGCCTGAGCGGCTCCTCCCTGCCTACTCCACCCGCCCCCTCTCCCCTCCAAACGGGGACCGCCATCCCCTCATCCCCTCGCCCACAGCCACTTACACAATCACAGCCTCCAGCCGGTGGGTCCACCCACTCCCAGACAGACTCACGGGGCTTACGGCTCTGGAGAGCTCCTCAGCCACGAGGGATCCCCCGTCTCCCCAACACCACCACAGATGCTCAGAACAGTTCATTCAATCAGTCAGAGTCACAGCTGGGGCAAACAGTCTGGCACCCCCAGGGCCATTATTCTTCATGGAAATAAACCAGAAAGACTTAGCACACTCATGTATATCATACACATGAGCACAATCATATACCCCCAAACTCACACACTTACCCCCTATACATGAAAATCACAAACTCACCCTAAGTCACACACACGTATACCCTCAGTCCACCCAACACCACTCACTGATTGAAACAGCTGTGTTCAGAAAATATTAATGTCCACAGTATTCTCTTGCATACAGACATGTAGCATAATCCACACAAACACCTCAGACTTAGACTCCATATGCCCTCATTTGGTGGAAGGCAAACCCCCAGCCACAGAAACACTGCACACACTTCTTATCACAAAGGTGATATGGAGGACAGGCAGATAGGCCATGGTTTAGGAATAAGAGCCCATGGGAATGCAGGGTTGTGATTCCAGACCTCACACTGCCTCTACCCTGATATGTGGCTCTATGCAAACCAGGTCCAGCTCTAGGCCTCTAAGAAGACATGTGACACAGGTCTCCTGAAAGACCCTACCACATGCAGAGCCCACTAGTCTGCAATTTATTTGATACATGGCCTCACTCTGTAGTCCAGACTGGTTGGAGTTTAGGTATTGGACTGGACTGAAACTGTGGCAGTCTTCCTGCCTCAGCCTCCGGAATGCTGCGGTTCTAGCTCAGAACCACCAAACCTAGCTCAGAGCCACCCTGTTCTGCAAGGTCTTCCCAGCTATTAGCATCCTTTCTGCCTACCTTTTCTCTCCTTTATCCTGTGGCTCTTACTACATACTCTGTCTATCCATCTGCCTTTTATTTTTCTACTTCTTTCTACGCCTCTCTCTGTTTGTCCCTTCATCTCTGCCTCTCTGTCTCTCTTTCTCCCCTATCTCTGACTGGATCCCTCTGATGTTTTGTGTGTCTTAGCTTTACATATCTTTTTCTTGCCTTTGTCTCTTTTCTCAGCTGCCTCCTTCTGGCTGTATCTTCCTCTCTTTTGTTTGTTCTGTCTTCCTTATCTCCATCTCTGAGCCTTGCCTGCATGTCACAAACAACACACACACACACACACATACACACACACACACACACACACACAAAACACACATACACACACCACACATACATACACCATACACACAAGCTGTCACCCCAAGCCCTGGGTGTGTGAGCTCAGCAGCAGGAGGGAGAGGGGGTAAGGAAGGCTGTCTCTCCTGCTCTCCTGAAGTACAGAAATGGGAGCCTTCATGCCCCTTAATCCCATACAGTTCAGAGGAAACCTCCAAAAGTCCTTGGGACATGTTTCATTTCAGTGGCCTGACTGCAATGAGGAGGAAATTGAGGGAGGGTGTGTTGAAGCCACATGACCAGGAAGAACTGAGCAGGGCTAGAAACCAAGGCTACAAAATCTGAAGGGGCCTCAGCTGCTAATATGAGAGGGCAGAGCATCTCCTCTTTCCTCCACAACCTGAGCACCATCAGAGGTTGGGGTTGGCCCCCATGCAGCTGAGGAGAAATTTCTCATCTGGGACTTGAAAGTCCCCTCTGAGACTTCTCAACACCTTCTCCTCAGGCCCTGCTGCTGGTGGCAGCCTTGGCTGGGTTGGGTTTGGGCCTGAGCCTCATCTTCATCGCTGTCTACCTCATCCGATTCTGCTGTTGCCGGCCCCCAGAACCCCCTGGGTCCAAGAGTCCCCCACCTGGAGGAGGCTGTGTCACCTGGAGCTGCATCGCTGCCCTTCTCGTGGGCTGGTAATGGGGCCCCAGGGTGGGTGGGGAGTGGATATAGAGTTCGCTATACTTGCTCTCGGTCTTTTTGAAGATACCTTGGGGTATGGGCCCAGAGTTAGGAGAAAGGGTGGCTGCCTGCCTGGTGAGTGGAGGGCTAGAGACTTAAAGAGGATGAAGCAGCTTGCCTGGGAGTAGAATTGAAAGCCTGAGATAGGTTTGGAGGGGTTTCGGTGGTTCTCTCATTGGCCAGTGGTTCTAAGAGAGTGCGATACTCTCTAGACTTCAGTTTCCACATCTATAAAGTGTGTTTTGCAGCTACCTATACCCTAGTTACACTAAGGCTAGACTAGAGGGAGCGTAGTGCATGGTCCTGGCTGTCCTTGGTGAGTGTTGACACTGACCAAACTCATTCATTCACTCATCAACTCATTCATTCAACAACTGAGCATAACATACCATGTGCCAGACCCTGAACATGCCAGCCTAGGCACTCTGTGATTTCAGCCATGGTTCCAATGAGGGAAACAGACCTTACAGGGTCACCCCCGGGAGCACCTGCTCAGTCCACTCCCAAGCTGGGTCCTTCTCATAAGAGCTGTGCTCAAGATTGCCACATCTGGTTTGGAATGAGGGAGGCTCAGGGAGGTAAAGAATATGACTGATAGGGTTTAAGAGGCAAGTGGAGATTCAGACTCATAGTAAAAGAACCCATCAGGACCCTCAATAGGAACTCCCAAGGAGTTTCAATAAATGACGCTTAACGAAATTGCTGGCTCTGAGTCCAGTCCCTATCAGGTCATGGTTAGTTAGCTGACTTAAGTCACATATGAGACTCAGGATTTGAGGGGGCTGAGACCTGCTGAGGACTTCATGCGTGGTCAGCAGGAGCCCTGGAAGAATATGGTGTCCCCTCCAGCCAGCCAGGGGTGTATAGCACCAAGTAGTTACCCAAGTCTGGGCTCTGGGCCACTCTTCCTCATTGTAGGAAGAAGAGGGTGTGTGTTTGGGAGTATATGGGGGTTGGGCGCCCTATATCCAAGATGTTTTCTCGTCAGACTCTCCAGAATGGGGGTGGATGGGGGAGGTTAACAAAGGCCCAGTGGGGGAGAGACACAGCCCCAGCCCCCTCAGAGCCTGGGAACAAGTGGAGCTTTGTAGGGTTCTGAACAATGGGGCAGGGGCAGTAGGCTCCCATCCAAGGAATGGGGTGGGGGCCTGTGTAGCCCAAGGCTGGGAACTGTGAGGGCATCAGGCTCTCGCCCCCTCCAGTGTGAAGTACAGTCGAAGGGAGGAAAGTGGGTCCCGATATTCAAGCTCCACAATGGAAGTCTGTGTGTTGGCTGGGCAGAGAGAGACAGGGGCCCAGCTCCTGGCCTGGCCTCCAGCCCTCCCTCCCACATTCTCTTACTCAGTCTCATCCAGCTGGCCAGATGCCTGGATCCCTGGGCATCACAGGGGAAGGCTTAGAGCTTCTGGCACAATGTCTTTTGCGAAAGAATAGGGTCTAGGGACCCTGTGCTCCTAAGAGCATTTAGGAGGAAGCCCCCAGGAACACCTGGGCTAGAAAGAGATAGGTATTGGCCTAATGATTCCGAAGACAAGGCTGTAAATGCTGAATGTTTTTGCAAAGAATGTAGGAGTTGAATGTAGGAGCGAATCATAGTTAGGAGCTGATAACCTTTTATCCAGGGCTAGGCGAAAGAAGGGTTCCACTCTGGGGAGGTGCGAGTTAAATCTGGGGGCTCCTTTTCCGCCACTCACTCCACCCACCATTAGCATCACAATGACGTCTCTCTGGCTGGGGGAGTGAGGTCTTCAGGTTACCTTGGCAACTGGTGGAGGCCAATCTTGAGCTGTTCTTTTTCCCACGGAGGATGGACCAATAGGGTGGATTCGGAGATTGGATAGACAAATGAAGAAAGGGGGAAGACGGGTATGTGTGTGGAGGCATGGTGCCCACCCTCTAGGGTCTGAGACTGGTTGGTATTTCTTCTTCCTTTCCCCTCAGTGCTGGCATTGGCATTGGTTTCTATGGTAACAGCGAGACCAGCGATGGCGTGTCCCAGCTCAGCTCAGCCTTGCTGCATGCCAACCACACGCTCAGCACCATTGATGACTTGGTAAGGCCCAGCCACTGGCCAGACTGCAGACTCATGCCCCAGTTGGTTTCCACATGGGGCCACATAGGGACGTGGCCCCCCCCATTGAAGAACAAAAGGAGCCAAATCAAAGCAGATTTCAGACCAAAAAACTTAATCCCCAGATGCAGAACTGCAAAGGCAGACCTGCAGACATCAGATCATACTTTCAACCCCAACCCTGCAACCTGGAGCTGGATCCAAAAGATTCAGACTCAGACTGAAGACTTACATCCAGCTCCAGGCCTGTACTTCAATTTATATTCCAAACCAGAGACAAAACACCTAGAAGACAAGTCCCTGTCCTCAGGCCAGAATCAAAGCTACAGACCCTATCCTTGGTCCAAATGTAAGTTCAGGGACCTCCACTGTGAGATCTTAAGCCCCAGGATTCCAGAGCTCAGGGCTGAGATGCAGCCCACCTCCAAACTTCAAGCTCAGTGCCTACTTGTGTAGAGCCAAGGGGTCAGATTTGAGACATCAGACTTGCAAAGGCCAATGCAGACTTTAGACCTAAGACTCCCCTTTCCAACTTCAATGCTGGGGTTAGAGTCTTTATCTTGGATACAAGCCCCTGACCAGCTAGAGCTCCTGACAGGACCTGGGAGCCTCACCTTGAGGCACCTTTTTCTCAGTCTTCAGATGCCTGAGACCCAGATCTGTCATCTGACACTCCTCACTCCCCCTTTACCCTACCACCACACCACCTTATCCTTCATCCCCAATGCCAGGCTTTGGGGAACATCGTCCCAGACTGGAGACCATGTCATCTCCCCAGGTGCTGGAGACAGTGGAGAGGCTGAGTGAGGCTGTGAGGACAGAGCTGACCACCCTGGAGGAAGTGCTGTCAGAACGCATGGAGCTGGTGGCGGCTGCCCGGGGAGCACGGAGGCAGGCTGAGGCTGCGGCTCAGCATCTGCAAGGACTGGCCTTCTGGCAAGGAGTGTCCCTGAGCCCAGTGCAGGTGGCTGAAGATGTGACTTTTGTAGAGGAGTACAGGTGGGAGAGGATTTCCCTGTTTTCTAAGCATTGATTTTGGGGAATGTGGGACAGTATCTGGAGACAGTTTAACTTGTCCCGCTGGTTGTAAGAGAAGCTACTGGCACCTGGTGGGTGGAGGCAAGATGCTGTTCCTCATCCTATAGCGAGCCCCACTGTGAAGAATAACCCAGTCATGAATGTAAGCCAAGGCTGATAAACCCAGCTGTGAGGAGATGGACCAAGGGACTGAGAACCCACCCTCATACTTACATACTTCCTGAGTATGTAATCTCAGTGATCATCTTTTTCTTTCATTCATTTACTTGGGTATTCCTTGACTCATCCATTCAGCAAGTCAATCACCATTACATACAGTTGCTCCTGGAATAACTCTAAGAGCAATCCTACCTACTAGATTATCTGGTAAGCAACTGTGTTCATTACAAATAATTTAACATCTGCTGAAAGACAGCCCATGGGATTAGAAACCTCACCTTCAGGAGGCCACTTTCCCCCCATTTATTTAGGCATCTAATCACTTTACAGCCTGATCCCAGCTCTCTCCCTCATTGACACCCAGTCCCACCCTAGCTTCCCCTACCCCCTCTCCTTCTGCTCAGACAACTGGAGGCTCCCAAGGAGTAACAACTCACCCTAGCACCTCAGGTTGCAGCAGGACTAAGTGCATCCTCTCTCACTGTGGCCTGACAAGGCAGCCCAGGTGCGGGAAAGGGATTCAAAAGCAGGCAACAGAGTCAGAGACAGCCTTACTCCCATTGTTAGGGCACCCATATGATTGCCAAGCTTCATATATGCTCCATATTTGTAGACGGTCTAGGTCCAGATCATGCATGCTCTTTGGTTGTTGGCTTAATCTCTGTGGACCCCCATGGGCCCAGGTTAGTTGACTCTGTAGGTTTTCTTGCAGTATCTTTGAACTCTCTGGCTCATGCAATCCTTTCTTCCACAATTCCACAAAACTCCCCAAGCTCTGCTGTGGGTCTCTGCATCTGTTTCCATCAGATGTTGGACAAAGCCTCTCAGAAGACAGTTATTCGAAGCTCCTGTCTTTGAGCATAGCAGAGTATCAGTAATAGTGTCAGTGTTGGCTCTCTCCCATGCGGTGGGTCTCAAGTTGGGCCAGTCACTGGTTTGCCATTCCCTCGGTGTCTGCTCCGTCTTTATCCCAAAGATGCCTTTGCACCAACGGTTTTATGGGTAGGCTGATGTCCTCCTCCAGGAGGCCACTTTGTGTTTGTAGATCCTTAGACACATTTCTTTTCATCCCTGGGCCTCAGTTTAGACCTTAAAGTGAGTCCTGTCATGCATAGTTCAAAATGGATTGTGTAGAGTTAGTTAATAACTTTGAGTATCTGAGCACACAATGACAGATCAAACAGTGCCAGTAAAGATATGCCAACAAGTTGGAATAACACAGGAAATCCCACATAGGAGGGACTCTTGGCCGGGAGATCAATATAAAACAGCCCACGAAGCCAGGCCTGGTGCTATAGGGCTGTAATCGCAACTGTTCTGGACACTGAGGTAAAAGGATTAAAAAGTCAAGGCCTATTTGGGCTACCCAGTGATTTCAAGGCCAGTCTGAATAACTTAGTGAAACATTGTCTCAAAATAAAAAGTAAAAAGAAGGCTGAAGATGTGGATAATGGAAGAATATTTGCCAAGAATTTGCTGGTAAGAGACTGAGAGTGTGACTCAGTGGTAGAACATCTGCCTACAATCAGTCTCCCACTGAGGGGCTGGGATGTAGCTCAGTGTTAGAGCATCTGCCCAGAATCCCCCAATGAAGGGTTGGAGGTGTGGCTCACTTACCTAGAATCCACTAATGAGGGGCTGGGAAGATGACCCAGGGGTAGAGTTACCCCTTCCTAGCATGTGTGAGGCTCTCTCTGTGTTCATAGTAGCATCAAAAGGGAGGGGGAACAGGAAAGATGGTTCAGTGGATAAGGGCACTGGCTGCACTTGTAGAGTACCTATGATCAGTTCCCAGCACTCATATGATGGCTCACAACTATCTGTAACTCTAGTTCAGTGGAATCTACCACTTCTGACCTCTGCAGACACCAGGCATGCATTTGATAGACATACATACATATAGGGGAAACACTCATACATATAAAATAAAAATATTTTTAAAAAGCAAACATTTTCTGTAAGGTGGGTTTTGGAACAAATTAAATAGGAAGGGGCTTGGCTGGGGACCCTCAGGCAGTTTATGTCAGGATTTTGTAAAGGTGGTACTTGAGGGGCAGGGACAAGTTGTACAGCCTTCTGAGGCAGCCGTCCATCTCAGCAGCCAACAAGACCAGGCTTTATCTGCTCAGTTATTTCATTCCTGTATTCAGCTGGCACCTCTGAGTCTCCTGTTTCCCAAGCTGGAGGCCATGAGCCTTGGTAAAAGAATACTGGGGCTGAAACAATCCCAGCTGGTTGAGGATGCATGGTGGGGCATCAAGACATCGAGTGGCACACAGGCCTGGGCCCACGGGCCGCGGGTTCTGTGTCATGGTTAAACCTAGGACCACAGGAGTTTAGTTGAGGAGGTAGAGTCAGCTGTGGGCATGATTCTAGGCAATGCTCTATAAAAATGTCTGACATTAGAGAAGCCCTCAACAAATGCATCAGAGCCAGGAGGTGAGTCTAGAGGCGTGATCAGGAACAAGGACTCAGAGAGTGCAGACCACAGCTGCATTGGAACTGCTGAGAATGACACTATTTATTGAGCACTTGCAGTGTGCCAGACACTGAATTGGGGTCTTCCATGCATCCTCCTCTGCAGTCCTGATGTGTTACTTATTTAATTAAGTGTTGCATAGCATCCACAGCCCCCTGGATGGTGATTTATGTAGCATTAACTAAACCCACAAGCCCATTCATTTATCTGGCAGCAGATTTTAAAGTTGATCCTGTTAGGCTCCTCATGTCACTAGGAAACTGAGGGAAACAGGTTACATGGCTAATTGAGACACCTGAAATATGCAATTAGGTCCTGGGTGACTGACACCCTACAGTGTTGGGTTGGGGATTTTATTCATAGAGGCTAATGCATGTGCCCACAACCACAGAACTTCTATGTGATTTGGCCAGGATAGGTCCCAGAACCTAAGCTGCAGGGCATTCCAGAGTCTTGTAGCCTGTGTACCATTTCACCAATGAGCTGCATTAGGCAGCAAAGAGGATGCAGGACCAGATTGGTTGAGGTGAATCTGGGGTGCTGTAGCCTCCTAAGGCTCACTGTCTTGGCCCTTCTTCTTACAGGTGGCTGGCCTATGTCCTCCTACTGCTCTTGGTGCTTCTGGTTTGCCTCTTTACCCTCCTAGGCCTGGCGAAGCAGAGCAAGTGGCTGGTGGTTGTGTGAGTGGAGCAAATTGCACAGGGGAGGGAAACAGGCGGGTTTTAGCAAGCACGCTAAAGTCATGAGAAAGGCAGACTACTGGCTGTAAACGGGAGGGTGATCTCTGACATGCCACACATGCTTTTTCTTTGGGTCACCACAACAAACCCATGGAGGAAGTGTCACCAGGTCCCCTATATGGCAGCTAAGGAAGCTGAGGTAATATGGGGACCCAAGGATCTATGCTCTTACTGAACCATTCTCTGTGTGCTAGACACAGCTCTTGGAACTCCATGGAACTCTCACACTCCAGGGAGGTAGGCACCGTTTAAAGCAGGAGGTGGTGGACCCAGTGTGACTGGGTACTTGTTCTGGGCCACACAGCCAGGAAGTACTATAATAAAGCTCAAGTTCAGCCTGGCCATCATTGGAGGAAACCATGCTCCTCCTCCCTTGGTGTCCGCTGTCTTTGGAATCCCCCTGAGAGATATGTCCAGCTCTTCATCAAGGCTTGGAGACTGATAAACACACTGTGCTGAGCAAGCATATGATTGGACTTTCAGCTTACAACAGCTGTCAACCTCTCCTACCACCCTGACCCAGAATTCATCTACCCCTTACAATCCTCACAATCTAAGCCAAGCCTTAGGTAAGCCAAGCTCTGAATTTGAGAAGTCAACCCTAGAACAATCCCCACACCTTAAAGCTTGGAGGTAGAGAGGATGGAGAGAGTATAGCTAATGGCTATGGACAGGACTGGAAGCTGGCTCAGAACTTACTAGACCTTGTGCAATTAAAAAGCCCAGCAAATTCAGCCCAGGGGTGGATAGCTGCCTCCTAGGGTCAAGGAACAGTTGGGGTAGTGGCTACTGACCTGCCAGCCAAAACCTTCCTCTCTCCTTTTTCAACTGAACAGATGTTCTATTTGACGTCAGTCAGTCATGGGTCTTACCCCACCTTTTTCTCCCGTGCCTCTGACTCTAATCCTTTAGGCTACAGAAATTGGTGGCTATTGGGGAGGGCTGTGATTGGATATGGGGTGTAGAAAAAGGCAAGGCCGATTAAGCGACTCGAGTCCAACCATCTCACCTCTAGGATGACTACCATGAGTCTCCTGGTGCTTGTCCTGAGCTGGGGTTCCATGGGCCTAGAAGCTGCCACAGCTGTGGTGAGTATGGGGCTCTGGATACAGGGATTCTTAATCTGGGGTAGGTGTGACCTCATTAATGCCATAAATCTTAAGGCTTGGGGATCGTGATCACAGTTCTGAGGTTTCAGCCCTATTTGCTGAGAAAATAGAGCCTGGGGCCTTAACTAGACCTCTCTCTGAGGAGAGCTGGAGTCTGGACCTCTGAGTCTGAGGGAGAAGGGTTGGGGCCTGGACCTCTGAGTTCTGTGAAAATATGAAATTGGATATTTCTGGTCTGATCCCTTTCTACTTCCTTCATCAGGGCCTCAGTGACTTCTGCTCCAATCCAGACACCTATGTGCTAAACCTGACCCAGGAGGAGACTGGGCTTAGCTCAGGTGATTCCCATAAATCCCTGCTGTCCTCAGCACTCCCTCCCATCCTCCAGGGCCCAGTCTGTTGTAGGATAGAGATCAGAATCATCTACCAGTCCTGGCAGGACAGGAAGAGGGCAGGATCAAAATGCCTGTGGGTGTGAAGGGAAAGGGGGAGTGGGCCCTTGGCCTTGGTGACAGAAGGGTTTGACTGTGGGACAACAGGGAAGCATAATTAGGTCAGTTTAGTTCGCTTCCAGATATGGGTGAAGTAGAAGAGATGAACATATGGGGTGTGGTGGTGTCCACCAATAATCCCAGCAATTAAGAGGGTGAGGAGAGAGTTAAAGGGCAGTTTGGGTAATGTAGACCTTATCAAATCTTGTTCTAAAATAATACAACAACAACAAAAATAATGGAATTAGAGATGTCAATCCACTGGTAGAGTGCTTTCCTTGCATGCCCAAAGCTGTAAGTTTGATCCACAGCCAACATAAAACACTTGGCACAGTGGATTGTGCCTAAAACCCTAGCAATCCCAGAAGTCAAGAAGCGGAGGAAGGTAGATCAGAAATTCAAGGTTATCCTTAGCTATATAGCAAGTTCAAGGCAGATCCAGGCTACATGAGACTCTGTCTCAAAACAACAAATGGGACAACTGAACAAGAAGGAAGAAGAGGAGAGAAGGAAAGGAAGGAGGCAAGTAAAAGAGAGGCAGAGAGGAAAGGAGAAACAAAAGTAAGGATGGAAAGGAAGGAGGGAGGGAGAAGAGAAGGAGGGAAAGAGAAGGGAAGGGGGGAGGGAAAATTGAGGAAGGGAAAAGAGGAGGGAAAGAGGAGGAAGAGAGGACAAGGAAAGAATGGAAGAGGCCTTTGAGACCCCAAGAAAGTTCTAAACTAGGTGGGGAATGTTCCCTGGGCTATGGCCCTCCAGATTTGCCCAGGGAGAGCCTGGGCCTAGGCTTATAGCCTGCTCCTTTCTCTCCCTCCACTTCAGACATCCTCAACTATTATTTCCTGTGCAACCAGGCGGTCTCCAACCCCTTCCAACAGGTTAGGACTGTGGGCAAAAGAAATGGGCATTGAGGAGATGGCTAATGTGGAGCCTCAAGGGAATATGCTGGGCTACACTAGGGGCTCCAGGGTTCCATGGGAGGTGGAGGGGCCCAAGGCCCAGAATTGTGTAGTCTAGTGGATAAATGGCATGGTGGACACCTGACCTGAGTCCTCCTTTCTCTGATCTCCCTGCAGAGGCTGACTCTGTCCCAGCGTGCTCTAGCCAACATCCATTCTCAGCTGCAGGGCCTGGAGCGGGAAGCTGTCCCTCAGTTTCCTGCTGCACAGGTTAGGTTAATAGAATGTACCAGTCCATGAGGAAAGAGGGCTGGGCCTGGTGAACCAGTGGGACACTGGTTCCACTCTCCTGAAGGGGCAGATTAGCTGGGTCAGATAGACTTATGGAGCTGGCCCTTCTCCAAGTAGGTGGGATTTCGTGCTGTGTCCAAAGCCTATGGAAAAGGGCAAGGCAACAGAGCTGAACCAGTCTTTGGGCCAGAGCCTTCAGAAAGGGGTTGTGGCAACAGTGGTAGGCAGGTCTCTTGGTGCTGGAGCAACAGTAGAGGTAAGGAGGCTCTGAGGTGCTGCTGAACCTATGTAAAGGTAGGGGCTTGGTCCCTTTGGAAGGTGGGGCTCATGGGTTGAGGGCAGGGCCAGTTTTGTGAGGTAAAGACTGGGTAACTGTGTTTCCCCCCACTACAGAGGCCCTTGTTTTCCTTGGAGGAGACAATGAACGTGACAGAGGGAAGCTTCCACCAGTTGGTGGCACTGCTGCATTGCCGCAGTCTGCACAAGGTGTGCGCCAGATGCTTGCTGGTTTGCTGTCGCTGTCTCTTTCTCCCTTCCCCTTCTTCTCTTCTCTGTCTTTCTCGTGCTCTCATAGCCACTCCCCACTCCCACCCACACCTTCACCCAAGTTCTTCATCTTCCACCCTCTCCCTTCCTCCCTGAAAGCTGCTCAGCCACTTCAAGCCTCGGATGAGAGCCTAGGCAGGCCTTTAGTTCCCTGGGTTGAATGCTAGTCCAGATATCAAGTGATGTGAAAGAGACAGGAAAAAAGTGGGGGCAGAGCAACCTGTGAGCCCGCCATGGGCTCATCTGTGGGCTGTGTGGCCTCAAGAGCAAGCCAGCATCTTTGAGCCTCACACCTTTCAGAAAGCAGTCTTCAGTGTTTTAAAGACTCTCACCCTTATAACAGAGGCTTAACTGCTCTCCCTGGTTACAGTCTCCCACAGTGGTCTCCTCCCCTCTGTGCACACAGACTTTGCCACGATCCTGGCTCTGTGGGACTCACTGGTCACTGACACTGCCGTAACAAGACAAGGATGACATTTTTCTTTTATAGTACGGGGGGACTGTACTCAGATACTCCAGCCTATTAGACACAAGCACTCCACCATTGATGAATACATGTGTGTATGTGTAGTCTCATGTAGCCCAGCCTTGCTTCAACCCAGCTGCAGAGCAGAGGATAACCCTAAGTTCTGATCTTTTGCCCACACCTCCTTCCTGGGTGCTTCGATTACAGGTGTGTGCCATCACACCCAGGCTATGAAATGCTGAGGATGGAATCTAAGGCTTCTTGCATTTCAGACAAGCATTCTACCAGCTGAGCTAATCCCCAGCCCCCATTTTTTTTTTAAAGGTACTTTTCATTAATTTGCTCAGATAGACCATGGACTCAATCTTCTGTCCTCAGCCTTCCCAATAGCTGAGATGACAAGCTTTTCCAGACCCAGCAGTAAATAGTATTACATGGTTTTGGCAAACCCAGAGGCTGGGAGAAGACAGTTGAGTGGTTTCTCACAAGGCACAGACCTCATGGAAGGACACTGAACTGCTTCTGGTCTGCACTACTAAGCATGGCCAGTCTGTTTCCTTCTGCTTCTGAAACATTTTTACCCATCCATCACCCAAGGGTGCACTGCAACTAAGATCTGGGAGATACAGGCTTCTTTGCCACACTCTAGGCATCTGGTCTGCCTTAGAACTAGGTCGTAGACTCAGAAAACAGACTCTTCTCTAGAAGGAGTCTCAAGCAACACTTGAGAGGTTCTTGTCCTAAACGACTATTTGCTGGGTATCCAAAGTCTGAAGTTAATGGGGCATACTGCCTCAGAAGAATCAGTGTGTGACCATACCAAACAGGGAGTTAAGGGGCAGTGAGTAGCTATGAGAAGGGTGGGGATGGGGGGGGAGGTCCTTGTTCTTTTATACACTAGTATGCTGGGGCCTTAGCCCTGTTTTATGATTCATGCAGATGCTTATCTCCAGTTCCAGAATAGCTGTGAGGGAAAAGATGAGGGGTCAGAGTCTGTGCCCACCATTGACAAACCACATGACCTTGGCATTGCTTTCCCTTCTAGGCTTGGTTTCCTCACATGTTAAAATTAGGGACAAGATGCAGAACACTGCAGCATAATTAAGTACTTACCACACTATCAAGAGTCCAATCCCCAGAAGCCATGTAGAAAGCAGAGCATATGGTGCTGGCTTACAATCCCAGTACTGAGGAGGCAGAGACAGGTGGATATCTGCGGACCGATGGCCAGCTGGCCTCGCCTGATTAGTGAGCACCAGGTCCCAGTGAAACACCCTGTTTCAAAAACAAAACCTTGCTGTAGTGGCGCATGGCTTTAATCCAGGCACTTGGGAGGCAACGCCAGGCAGATCTCTGAATTTGAGGCCAGCCTGGTCTACACAGCAAATTCCAGGATAACCAGGGCTACGGAGAAAAACTCTGTTTTGGAAAAACAAAAATCAAAATTGCATTTGACCTCTGACCCTTGCCCTTACCCCACATGCACAGGCATGAAAACATCCCTTCCACACAAGCACACACACAAAATGTACACTCAAATGAGATAGGGACAAGAGACACTAGGATAAGAATGGGCTGGGTGTGGTGGCACACGTCTTTCATTCTAACCCTCTGAGGGGCAGATGCAGAGGCAGATGGATATCTGTGAATTCGAAGCCAGTGTGGTCTACACAGTAAGTTTCAGGCCAGCCAAGCCTATAGAGAGAGATGCTGTCTAAAAGAGAGGCAAGGGGATGTGTCTCTGGAGCCTCAGAGACTTGATTCTGGATTCAGGTCTAACCCTTCTAGACTGTGTGACTCCATACAGATTCCCCACTCTGGGCTTCAGCTTCTTTCCACCACTTACCAAAGGCAGCATTACATGGCTGTCACAAGGATAGAAGGGTGCAGTATGTGGTCCTGATGCAAATTTAACAGCTTATTGCCCTGGTGGCCTCCTCACCCCATGCCTTATTGACTTATCATAGGAACCCTTCCTTTACCCCAGCATTTGAAGCAAAAAGTCAGGCCTGTCCTGCTAGGTCCCTAGCCTCACTTCCCACTGCTTCTGCTGCTCACACAGCAACACTGCATCAGGCTCTGGCCCTCCTCACCTCTTGCATACCCATCTTGCTCATCCCATCTGCCCAACAACAGCTGGTGATCCTTTCAAACACAATCGGATCAGAGTCTTCGTCTAAAAGCCCTTTCATGAATCCCCATTCACATGGATTAAAGCCAGGGCTACTGGCACTGACCTAGAAGAGCCTGTGTAGACAGCCCTGGCAAAAGCTCTGAGGCTTCAGCCTCGTTTCCACCCTTGCCCTCCACATCAGCCCAGCCACTTGCCTCTGAGTAGACCTGACCATCTGCCTGGCTCCTTGTGCCCTTCTCTGCTGGGCACTGCCTTTCATCTTCCTGACCTACCAGCCTCCAAAGTGGTCTCCTTGGTCCCATGTACTGAAGGTTGCTGATGCTGAGGGCATGCCTGGAGCAAAGATGGATTAGTCCCTCCCTGCAGAGTGAATCACTCTGTTGGCTGTGCCACTGGGCATTGAGGTCACAGAGCGTCTGCTGGCCACCGGGGTAGTGGTCACAGTAGCCAGTCTTTTCTACATGTCTATCATATGCATGTCTAATCCTAAATGTTTTGTAAGCCAGCGATCTGTGGGACCCAGGAAGAAGTTGAAAATGTTTGGGGATGTGGCTGTCACATTTGCAGGGAAGGATGCTGCTGGTATCCTCAGCTGTCAATAGCACCTGGACGGAGCAAGGATAGGCGGGACTGGTGCTGGTAGGAGACAGCAGTGTAGAGGCTTGCCCACCCAAGATGCTGGGAAAGCAGTTCTCTGGGTGCTGAGTGGAGATGCCAGGCCACTTTGCATGTAGGTGGGGGATGAGATAAAATAGGTGTGGGTTGTGGGGCTGCAGCTCAACAAAGGCACAAGCTGAACACATGGATGACTTTTCGTGTTCAGAACAGCTGACAGGAGACTACTTGAGCACAGAGTCTGGGTGAGTCATGCAATGTACACAGCCAGGTAGACAGACGGTTGGACCTGTGTAAAAAGCGCATGTGTGCACACTCTGAGGCTCCTCCTCTGCCTCAGGACTATGGCTCGGCACTCCGAGGCCTGTGTGAAGATGCCCTGGAGGGCCTGCTGTTCTTGATGCTCTTCTCTCTCCTGTCTGCGGGAGCCCTGGCCACCACCCTTTGCAGCCTGCCCCGTGCCTGGGCCCTCTTCCCACCCAGGTCAGCAGGGGAGAGGACAGGGTCCCCAGGGAGGGGACAGGAGGCACTACCCAGGGCCACTGGTGGGGATGGGACAGCCTCCTGATGGGTTCCCATCCTGCTTCTCTGCCACTCCCCACATCACATCTCAGTGATGACTACGATGACACAGATGATGACGACCCTTTCAACCCTCAGGTACAGACCCTGGTCTGAGGAGGAAGGCTGGGGTGTTCGACCCTGGGTCTGAGGGAGGCGGACTGGGGCCTGGGATCCTGGGTCCAAGGGAGGGAGAGATGAGTACTGGACTCATGGGTCTGAGGGAGGGATGGGGCCTGGGATCCTGTGGGAAGGATGAGTCTTGGACCTGAGTGAGGAGTGCTAGGTTCTAGGATCCTGGGTTTGAGGGAGGTGGGAGGGTCCCCACAGTACACGACAGATTCTCACTGTATGTCTTTTCTGTCCATTGTCCTGACAGGAATCCAAGCGCTTTGTGCAGTGGCAGTCTTCCATCTGAGCCCTTGTCTAGCTCAGAGCCAGCTTCTCGTTGGTAAGCTTCAATGACAATTTCATGTGCAGTTGGGCCTTGGCTTTCCCCTATGGTATTGTATTCTCTCATGTTGGTGGGTGTCCATGGGATGTCTCCTGCCTACTCTCATCTCTCTTTCTCTCTGTCTAGCTCCTTTTCTGGCTGCTGGAGAAGGCCCCACTAACCTGACCCTGCCTGGGTTCTGACACTAATACTGCTGGCCATGGACACCTCACATAGGATGACATCCTGCTCTGGCCCCAATATTCCCCCATCCCCATTTGTCCTTAGTACAGGGGATTGCTGAGGTGGCACAGCAGGGACCGGGGCTGGCTGGGAAGGGAGCTGACCTATATAGCCAAGTGTCCCTCACCTCTGGCTGCCAATCCTGTCCTTGGAGGGGCTAAGCTGGAGGTGGGGCAGGGATGTCCCTGCTCCTGCCATATCCTGGCGATCTCAACTTGTGGCACTAACTTGTAAAAGGGTTGATTTGAAATAAAAGGGAAGACTTTATTTTACAGGTAGCTAGGTCCATCTTATTTTCCCCACTCCTGGGAGAAGTCCTGCACAAGATGAAGCTAACCAACATTTCAACATGGAGGAGGAGCTCTTGATTTCTTTCTTTCTTTTTATTTTATTTTTCTTAATGCTCTTTTGTTTGAATTCTACGCCACAGTCTGAGCCACTATTAAATTTCCAGAGGCCACCTCTAAAGGTAGCAGGAAACTGAAGCCTGGACTCTCAGATTCAGGGTTAGGAGCCTTATCGATTGAGCTATCCAAGCCAACTGAGAGGAAGTCCCGACTGGACTAGAGAGACCCCTTCCCTGGTGGTTGAAAGGCAGCTCTCCTCTTGTCCAGGCTCAGCACTGATCTGGTTCTGAAAGTCACATGTGTATCCTTACAAGGGAAGAAGCAGATCCCCAGAAGAGAAGAAACCTAGCACCAAATCTAAACACGCGTGCATCCACAGGAACAGAGTCAAGTCCAGTGTGGAATGTGCAAGGCTGGTTGGGTTTAGGAACTGTGTGTGTGGAATCAGCTTGCTTCCTAGCAGCTCAAACCCAGCACAAGATGTCAGAAAACCTAAGTTTGTATCAGGAAAGGGACAGATGTACTCGGAGACATAGTAGAATAATATTTGCTTGTAGTGCTTCCAGGGTGATGTAAAGGGGGAAACTTTACAGAAGATATCACAAATCCAGACAGGAAAAGATAAAGCAGTCAATAAATTATAAAGTAAAACAAAGAAACATGCAAGAGTCAAAAGGGAAATGTATTGTCTACATAACGATACCTATGAAGTTTTGTTAAAAAGAATTAGCACGTATGACAAAGAAAACCATTAGTGTTAATAGATAAAGAATTCACAAAAGCTTCAATTTCTCTAACAAAAAGACAAACTCAATTTAATAAGCAGGTGAGACGAACATACAAGGAAGCAAAAACCTCAAGACAAATTGATAAACTTGTTAAAATTCTAATGATTCAACAACACAATGTGCTACTTCCCTCTCTCTAATACCTAGTTATTGTGACATTAAAATGGGTGTTGACTGGAGTAGTCTGGAAACCCAGGGAAAAGGTTCTCAAAACCTGCTGCTGTGAATCAACAGCTATGTGAATAAAAAAAGAAAACCCTGCTTACATGTGAGAGAATGGAAACCACATCTCTTGACCAGGCGACCCTTTAGGGCACAAGCTTAGAGAGAGATGAACAGGTAACTAAGATGTGTGGAAACCCTTTGCCCAGGCAACACTTGGTTCACTTAAACCCTGGAGGCACAAAGTCCACAAAAAGAAGTAATCTGCATAGTACAACTCTGGAAGATCAACAGTTCTGTAGCGGACGTTGGTAGAGCAGGATCCTCAAGCTGAATGTGACAGAATGGCAGTAGGATACAGAAGCACCAGGGACATACCCTGAAGAGTCTCACACAGTGGTTGGTTGGATGCCTCTGGGCCCCAGTCCTGGCATCGCTGTGTTGATGTGGGCAAATCACTTGTTGAACCGCAAATGGGTATCAAATCCAGAAAACAGGACAGTAAAAAGCAAGAGAAATGCAACATGATGCTCTGGGTTACACTCTGGCACATACAAAACATCCTTGGGAAAAGTGCCAAAGTCTAAAGTCTGCGGTTTAGTTCAGAATATTAAAGCAACGTCGGTCAGTTTCTTACTTTTAACAAATAAACTGGTGAATTCGAGGTGTGGAATATAGCAATAGGGGAAACTAGGCATTGTATATGCCCAACTCCTGTATTATCTTTGCAATTTTTATTTCTGTAAACCTAAATTTATTCCAAAATAAAAGTTCATTATAAAAAAAAAAGAGAGATGGGAAGAAACCTACTATGCTAACACTAACAAAATGATACAAAGTCATTCAAATGTTATTTGTACTAGCAAGCAAAAGTTGCTTGTGCGACTGGAAACTGGGGTATAAGGTTCTTGTTTCATATATTACTTTAACAGGATCCCTAATGGAAGGCATAATTCACTCCTGTTTACACAGTTAACTTTTTTAAGAAAGGTCTATTGCGGCCGGGCGTGGTGGCTTTAAAGCTCGTAAGAGCTAGGCGGATTTCTTTGAGTTTCAGGCCAGCCTGATATACCTTTGACAGATAATTCTAGGTTCTGCTAGTAGCTTCTCTCTAAACATCATCTCTCTACCCCAGCACCCTATAGGATACCTTTCCAGAGTCATAGTCCAATGGCTACTCCCATTCTCCAAGCGACGCGTATTTCCTGCTTCCTTTCGTCGGCTTTCGCTGTTCCCCACGCAAGGTTCGCCATTCCAAGTTTATTCACTAAGCAAGCCTTCCAGGGGAGGATTCATCCCACTCTCTCCGCCACACACACGCACACACACACACACACACACCCCTTTCCTTTTTTTCTTTTACGTCATAGTGCAACGCGCAGCCTCACAACTCCTTTCTCTAGACTTTCCACTTTAAGGCTAATGACTACCATACACTGAGTCAAAACTAGGTTGTACGCACGCACGAAGGGCTGCGAGAGCTTGCGACACTTGTCCCCATGGGGCCACCGTCCAAGCCCAGCTTCCGGCTTGCCAACCATGCCCACACGCGATTGCGTAGGCGGGGCGAGTAGAGGGCGGTTCAAGCCGAGCGGTGACAGCTATTGGCTGAGGGCGGCACGGGGCGGGCACAGACATCCGGGTAACGTCATCACGTCAGGACGTTCCAGCCCCAAACTAGAGCTAGCCGGTGACTGAGCGCTGTCTTGGTTGGCTCGTAGCCGCTTTGGGCCGCCGGTAACGAACCCGGGAGCAAGCGGTCCTGGTGAGTGTGGGGAGTAGTTGGCAGGCTGGCGGGCGAGCACAGGGACTCCGCCGGGCCCCGCGCTCCGCGAGCCTAGGCCTGCTTGGTGAGGCCAACCGACGCCGTGCCCGGCGTCTGCAAAGGGTGTGGCCGCTGGGGCTCTGGCGCGCATGCGGGCTGGGGGGGGGGCTGGCCACTGCGCGTGCGCATCCTCTTGTGCTTTGCCAAGGGCCTTGGGAACCCTGCGGACCCTAGTGCCCTAGACGCTCTCTTTGTGACCCCATTGACCCGCTGTTACGCCGGCTGCCCTGTTGCCTAGGGCAACCCAGAGAGGCCACAATCGCAGCGTGTTGCGCAGGCGCGGCCGGGCTAGTGGCAGGCCGCGGAGCCAAGGGGGGGTCGCTTGGGTTCAAGGCGGCCTCTACCTCCAACTGGCTTCGTGGACCTCATGTCTGCGGGACAAACAGGTGCTCCTGCTTAGAGTCCATGTTGTCCTAGTCTCTTTCCTCCTAGGCCTCACTCCTAATTTTAATTATTACCCCCAGGGTCTCCTACCTGCTTTCCTAGTTGGGATCTCTTGACTCATCCAACAGTTTGAACTTTTTCAAAAAGGCCTGGTGAGGGCTGTCAGTGTCCCTTAGGCTTCCTGTTGGATTTTGGTTTCTCCAATAAATTTTTTTTTTGTTTTGTTTTGTTTGTTTGTTTGTTTGTTTTTTTCTTCCTGTTGTTTGGGCACCTCCTGCCCTGTCCCCAAGCCTGTTCTTCATCTTTCTATTGGTACTATCCACCCCACTCCTAATGGTTTCTCAGGAGTGTGGGCCTCCCAAAGCATGCTCAAAGCCTTATCTGTAAACACACTGCCTGAGGAATTGCCTGCTGTTTCTCCCAGAACAACTCCTGCTCCTAGCAACATCCCATACACGTTCTGCTCTGTCCTCTGGATGCTCTATTTGATTCAGTCTGGTAGCTTCTGATAGTCTACCAGTGACTTCACATAGAGAGAGCCTCCTACACCTTCACCATCTACTACTCGTCAGTGGGTCATCTATGGCTCCCTTTTTCTGCTCTCCAATATTCTCCCAGCTCCTTGCTCTTCAGTATGTTCCCAGAGGCTTCTCTTGCCAGGCTTCTTGGTAGCTAGTATTTCACTCACTGGTAGTTACTTGCTGGAATGCCCTCCTGCTTCCTTGAGAATCTGTGTCAACAGAGGATTCTCTTTAGATTCGATGCCCAGGACTGAGGTCTCATCTACCACTTGAGCCAGGTTTTTCCTCACATCCACACTCCTAATGCAAGTTGCAGCTTCTCTGGTTTCATTTTCACATCCTGCATTTTGGTGCCCTCCAAGGGAGTCCAGTGTCTTTCTTTCATGCTTGGGTCTCTTTATTCCACACTGGGATTCATCTCTGATTCTTTTGGCTGTTTGTTTTTGGGATAGAATTTCAACATTTAGTCCAGGCAGGCCTTAACTCCCAAAAGAGTGCTGGGATTGCAGTCATGAGCTACCACATTTGGATTCTTTAACAGTGTTCCCTTCTATGAGATACTCTTCCTTTCCTGCCTGTCCTTCATGGGTCCATCCTGCTTTGTTCTTACCCCCTTGGATCTTCCTAATTATCTCTTTTCTTATAAACAGTGAAAAAGCAGTCTGGCTCCCGAGGTCCACTCCCTACACCCCAAGGTCCAGATGGCGGCCAACGTGGGTGATCAGCGCAGCACAGATTGGTTAGTAGGGCTAGGGGAACGTAGCCCATTACAGAGGGAAGGAGAAGACAGTGGGACCTCACACAGCCTGGAGGAGGAGATGTGTATTCTGGGGTCTAGGGTGGAGGGGCAAGCTTCCCCTTTGAGCTTTCCTTTTATGTGTATATTAATGCTTGTGAGTGTTTTTTTTTTGGGGGGGGGGTTGGCACACACATGGAGGGTAGAAGAGGCATCAGATCCCTGGGAGCCGGAGTTATATGTGGCAGTGAGCTGCCCGACATGGGGTCTGGAAACTGAACTTGTAATGTCTGCAAGACCAGTAAATGCTCCTAAACCTGAGCTATCTCTCCAGCCATTTCATACTGTCTACCTGATAACTCCTTTTTCCTTCTATCTTTCTTTCTTTTCTTTTTTCTTCTTTCTTTCTTTCTTTCTTTCTTTCTTTCTTTCTTTCTTTCTTTCTTTCTTTGTCTCTCTTATTTATTTGTTTGTTTGTTTGTTTGTTTATTTCCTCATAGCTGGCCATATCAGAATTCATTGGCTAGTAAAATGAGTCCTCCTAAAGTCCTAGATCATGTGTAAGGTTCTGTATATACTGGCCAGCCTTCTGTTTGCTTGGTCCTTGCTATGTGTCATCTTTAGCTTGGGCTGTGGTAGGTGGGTAGGGAGCTTAGCTCTGTAATTCAAGCCTTGAGTTTCCTTTCTCGAACCTTGTCTACCTGTGTGCAGGGGAAAACATAACTCTGTCTCACCTTTGTAGGTCTTCGCAGTACAGCATGGTGGCTGGGGCCAGCAGAGAGAATGGCATGGAGACTCCCATGCACGAGAACCCAGAGTGGGAGAAGGCCCGCCAGGCCCTGGCCAGCATCAGCAAAGCAGGGGCTGCCAGCAGCTCCAAAGCCAGCACCAGTGGGTCTGTGGCTAATGCACAAGTGAGAATGGCATGCAGGACTTGGGAACTACTGTACTGGGGTGGGGAGGTTGCTGGCTACCAGAGGATGGTGTGTCTTAGGGAGACTGTAATATTTGCCTGTTAACTAAATTCAACGAAGGGAAAAAGTCAACTTCATTGAGTCAGCCAGGGCCTGAGTGATCTTGAGGAGGATCTTCCAGATGCCTGGCTTTACTGTTGGGTCACAAACTCTGTTCCCTTCCTGTAGTTACTCTGCAATAGAGGCCTTCCCTTTTGGGACTGTAGTGCCCATGGACTTTGTGGCTGTTACTGACAGCCATGTATGTACCTCTGTCTTCACAGTATGTCTCTCAGGCAGAAGCCTCAGCCTTGCAGCAGCAGCAACAGTACTACCAGTGGTATCAGCAATACAACTACGCCTATCCTTACAGCTACTACTACCCCATGGTGAGTACCTGGCTGCAGGGTGGGAGCCTTCTGCCAGTATGGGCAATGGTTAGTAGAGATAAAGACAGACATAGCAGTGTTTGGAAACTTGCCAGCAGCCCCTGAGAGAAACTCCAGCTTCCTGCTCAGGTCTCACAAGACTGATATATCCATTCTGGTCTATCGCCACTGTTGATGCCCACATCCTCGCTGCCTCCATACTCCAGGACATTGACAGATCCTAGTACTTTGTGTGTTGCTCTGTTGCAGCTCTTCATTTTACTGTGCTCATGTTAAGATTTCTTGCTTCCCAGAAAGCACCTTCAGAGATTTTCCCAGTGCCTTTCAAGTCATAGTCCTGCTTCTCCTCGTTGGCTTGTTTTCTTAATGTGGGAAATTAACTACTGACACCTATAGCTGTGTGTAGACTTCGTTAAAGTGGGTTTTTGCTTTTCTTTTTGAATCAGGATTCTCTATAAGCCCAAAACCCAGCTTGGCTTCAGCCTCCTGAATGTACACCACCACCACAAGCTTGCCTTTTTTTCCTTTTTTATTTTTTATTTTTATTATTTATTTTTTTTTTTTAAGAAAAGGTCTCGCCATGTGGCAATGGTTGGCCTGGAACCCACTATGTAGATCAGGCTTATCTCAAACTCCACCGAAATCTACCTGCCTCAGCCTTGCCTCCAATGTCCTATGATTAAAGGGGTGAGCCTTCTTTTTACATAACATTTAGAAGCATTGGCACTTACTACTTCTCACTACTTGTTAATGAGCTCTGGGTGCTAGCATAAATGGGAAGAAGAGGTTTTTGTTTTCTTGTGTTTTAGTTTTGTTTTTTTTTTAAAGTACATGAGTTGGTGCATTTGTGTGGTGGAAAAAATAAGGGCTTGTAGTCTATTGCCTCTTGAGTTGTGCACAGTTCCAAGGGAGGCCAAAGGCATGAGCAGCCTCCACTAACTCTGGCTCCCCCTGTGCCTTGGCAGAGCATGTACCAGAGCTACGGCTCCCCCTCCCAGTATGGGATGGCCAGCTCCTACAGCTCAGCTGCAGCCCAGCAGCCAGCGGCTCCCCAGCACCAAGGGACTCTGAACCAGGTAATGCTGTGCCTAGCTGCTCCTGGTCAGCTGGGAGCAGGAGCCTGGGTTTTGAGAGGACTTGCAACCAGAAATGGTCTGCACAATTTGAAAGCTGCTCCCTCCCTCCACCCTTGTTCTTGCCAATCCGCTCCTAATCTAAAGGCTTAGCTTTTAAAATTAGGATGGGCTCAAGACTGGGCGAGGCCATGAGGCTATAGTGTTGGGAGATAGTGGGAATAGTTTATAGTTTGGCAGTCTGTCTTCTCTCTCTTCCTCAAAATGTGCACTCAAACCCACATTCAGGAGCAAGTCTCTCCCCTCCCTACCCCCTAGCACATGGTGCATACACAGCACACCCATATCTTCCCAACACGCTGCCTTTGCATCCAGTGACTCCTAGAGGAGTGGAGGAGCCTGAAGCATGGGAACTACATTGACCTGGGTTGGAGTCCTTGCTTTGTCCCTTGTGTGGACTTGAGTCATGTGACCTCTGTACGTCAGTGGCTTTTCCATGTTGAGAGGGTGAAGTCTTACTGTGTTTGGGCAGGTGTGTTGTCATGTGTTGATGTGCTCAAGAGAGAGAGCGTCAGTGGGTGTGTCACCAGTGTAGTAGAGTCAGGTGCCATTGTTTGACATTACCAGGTTGGCACTACTGGTAGCTGCTGCTGAAGAGCTGGGGCTGTGGAAAGTTGCTCAGTATCTTGAGTCTGAGTCTTCTCAGTTGTGAAAAAGACTGCTAGTGGATATAGATACCCAGGGAGTCACCAAGCACACAGAGTGGCAGCCCATAAAAGATTAGAGTACTTGGTGTTAAAGATGGATATAAGAACCGAATACGGTTTGATTCGGCACCAAGATACTGCCTGCTGCCTTCAGCCTCTGCTTCTTCCCACAGCAACCTCCTGTGCCTGGCATGGATGAGAGTATGGCCTACCAGGCTTCCCCTCAGCAGCTACCTACAGCCCAGCCCCCTCAGCCCTCAAATCCCCAACATGGGACACATGGTCTAAGCAACGGCCCTCAGCCCGGAACAGCCCCAGCCACTCAGCACAGTCAGCCAGGGGCACCTACAGGTCAGGCCTATGGGCCACACAGCTATAGCGAGCCTGCCAAGCCCAAGAAGGGTCAGCAGTTGTGGACACGCATGAAACGTGAGTTAGCAGATCTGTTGGGGGTCAGGGGTTGGAGCCTGGCTGTTAGCCATACAGGGTGGCTGGGCCTTTGTCAGGCTGTTATGATGAGCAGTAGTCTAGGGGAAGACTGTTCCAGAACAAGTATGCTCATGTTAGGGGACTGCTTCAGAGCTTGGCCTATTTGAAGGTCTGGGGAAGACCTAACTCCAGGCTCTGCTGTCCACCCACAGCTGCTCCTGGAACTGGAGGTCTCAAGTTCAACATACAGAAGCGGCCCTTTGCTGTCACCAACCAGAGCTTCAGCTCCAATGCAGAAGCTCAGCACAGCAGCTTTGGCCCCCAGCCCAACTCTGAGAAAGCTCAGAACCACAGGTGATTCTCATCCCTGCCCCTACCTACCCATGCTCTGCATCAGGGTCCCTCCGTAGGCACTACTCTTGAATGCCTTGAGGTAAAGGGAACACTGGAAATGTACAGTGCCAGTCTGCCATCTTAGATCACAGGGAAAGTTGTGCTGAGATTTGGGACCCTCCCACCTGAGTGCCCTCATCTGTTCCCTACTTCCACAGTGGTCCTTCTGGCCGGGGAAACCTGTCTGGGAAGCCAGATGATTGGCCTCAGGATATGAAGGAATATGTGGAGCGGTGCTTCACAGCCTGTGAGTCAGAAGAGGACAAGGACCGGACAGAGAAGCTGCTCAAGGAGGTGCTACAGGCCCGGCTCCAGGATGGCTCTGCCTACACCATCGACTGGAGCCGAGAGCCTCTGCCTGGGTCAGTCTGGGTGACACTATGAGACAGTGGGTCTGCTTGGTATGGCTGGGGACTTGGGTATCAGAACTAGCAGCTTCAGAGAGAAATGAACCAGAAAGCTGACAGCTTCAGGGCACTGTGGGGTGGGTAGAAGGCCCAAGAGTGATCAAGGATAGGGTTTTTGGGAGAATTCAGGGATTGCTGGGGAGGGATGGGTAGCTTGATGGCTAAGAGCATCCCCTGGACACAGACAATCTTGGGCTTGGTCCCTTTCCTGCACCACAGTGGCTGAGTTGCCGGGGTAAGTGCCTCTCTTTTCTGAGGTTTTGTGGCCCTGGGCCACGGGGTGGGGTCTGCAGACCTGCAGGTTGGTGGCTGGTTGGTAATGCCCTGCCCTGCTATATCCTCAGACTGACCAGGGAGCCTGTGGCTGAGAGCCCCAAGAAGAAGCGGTGGGAGGCCCCTAGCAGCCTTCACCCTTCCAGGGGGGCAGGCTCTGTGACCAGGGGCGGGGGTGCCCAATCCCAGCGAGGGACACCTGGGGCTGGGGGTGCTGGCCGAGCTCGGGGTAGCAGCTTCGCCAAGTTCGGCAACCGCAACGTCTTCATGAAGGATAACAGCTCTTCCTCCAGCACGGATTCGCGCTCCCGCTCCTCATCCAGGTCCCCCACCCGACACTTCCGGAGAAGGTGTGCAGTCTTGGACTTAGGCTGGAGGGCAGCTGGGAGGGGCCTGCTTGGGCCTGACCATTGTGCTTCAGGCCTGACTTTCCCCCTTTCTCACGCAGTGACTCCCACTCGGACTCTGACAGCTCCTACTCAGGGAACGAGTGTCACCCTGTAGGCCGCAGGAACCCACCCCCGAAAGGTCGGGGTGGTCGAGGGGCCCACATGGATCGAGGTCGAGGCAGGGCGCAGCGTGGAAAGAGGTGAGGCACCTTGGTGGGATTTCTGTGTAGTCATGGGTGGATTGTATTGGGTCTCACAGGTGGGGTAGATGGCGTTAAGAGTGGCTGAAGACATTGTCCTTCTATACCCATCCTCCCCAGACACGACCTAGCTCCCACCAAACGCAGCCGCAAGAAGATGGCAGCACTGGAATGTGAAGACCCAGAACGTGAGCTTAAGAAGCAAAAGAGGGCAGCCCGCTTCCAGCATGGTCATTCACGCCGCCTGCGCCTTGAACCTTTGGTGCTGCAGATGAGTAACCTGGAAAGCAGTGGAGCTGATCCTGACTGGCAGGAGCTGCAGATTGTGGGCACCTGTCCTGATATCACAAAGCACTATCTGCGGCTCACCTGCGCCCCAGACCCATCAACTGTGCGACCTGTGGCTGTAAGTCCCAGGCAGAGTGTCTCTGCCCCGGGATGTGTTGGCATTAGGCCAAGCCGCTAACTAACAGAGGGGTGCAGGGGACTCGTGGGATGTCAGAGGTAGCAGCTCCAGCTATGAGAAAACCTTAGCATGTAGGCTTTTCACATCTGGGGCATAGCCTGGCCACAGTCAGCCTGATCTGCAGGACCCTAGAGCCTGGTAGCCTTGGAATGGCCACTGGTGTTCTGCTTTAGGATGGCACAGCATTGTGTGGCAACAGGAAGTTATAGGGTGCTCACTCTTGAGTATTGGCTCAGTGTTGTTTGCTCACAGCCTTGGTGAGTCACTGATAGAGGCTGTGTTGCAGATCTCATTGAATGGGCACACAGTGGCTTTGGCCTAAGACCTCTCTCTGCAGTCAGCTTTGATTCCATTTCCTGCAGGTTTTGAAGAAGTCTCTGTGCATGGTCAAGTCCCACTGGAAGGAGAAGCAGGACTATGCCTTTGCCTGTGAGCAGATGAAATCTATTCGGCAGGATCTGACAGTAAGGCAGATACTAAGAGGGCTCTGATGTCAGCCATCCTGCCCTGCCGTGCTGTGCCTGACTCTATTCTTTTCTACTGCCTAGGTGCAAGGCATCCGGACCGAGTTCACTGTGGAGGTGTATGAGACTCATGCCCGCATTGCCTTGGAGAAGGTATGAGCTGGGTATATGGGCCTCCCATTTTTCTCCTGAAACTACCTGTACTTGCCTGTGCCTCAACACCCCTCTCTCCATGCTCTGCTTTCAGGGTGACCACGAAGAATTCAACCAGTGCCAAACACAGCTTAAGTCGTTGTATGCTGAAAACTTGGCAGGAAATGTGGGTGAATTTACTGCGTACCGAATCCTCTACTACATATTCACCAAGAACTCTGGAGGTGAGAGGCCCATCACCAAGATGGAAGGTGCTGTGCCCAGGGTGCCATCCTGCCGCCTGACCTCCAGTTCCCTTCTTTGCAGACATCACTACGGAGCTGGCATACCTCACGAGGGAGCTGAAGGCAGACCCCTGTGTGTCCCATGCATTGGCACTGAGGGCAGCCTGGGCCCTGGGCAACTACCACCGCTTCTTCCGACTCTATTGTCATGCACCTTGCATGTCTGGCTACCTTGTGGACAAGTTTGCAGACCGGGAACGCAAGGCCGCTCTCAAGGCCATGATCAAAACGTATGTGGCACTGCACTCTGCCGCCTTCTGTGCTGTGGCTCTGCCACATCCCCTCCACATCCTGGTCAGCCTTCAGCTCCTCTGCTGGAGTCTTCTCCCAATCTCTATCCACACCCCTGGCCCTTGTTCCTTTCCTCCTCGGCCACCTTCAGTTCCAGGTTTTCTCCCACTGTTTTTACCTCACTGCTCCTGGTATCATGTTCTTCTCCTATACTCCTCTTCTGTTCACATCAGCTTACAACCTGGTTTGTCTTCCCCTTCTTCCAGGCCTGCCTGCAGCTACTTGCTGCTCTTTTTCCTGACATATTGTAAAGGTGGCCTGACTCCTATTGCCAGCAGTCTCTTGATCTGAGGCCTTGTGCCCATTCCATTCTTGAGTATCAAAATTCTTTTGGACTGGGGGATGGTGGTGTTGTAGGGCCCTTGGGCATCAGACAACATGAGGTTTGCCCATGTGGGTAAGAGATCCTCTCGCCCTTGTCACACGGATATGGATGCTGTTGCCATCTTGTGGCTAGAGACCGGGGATGCTGTGCAACAAAAGGCCCCACAGCAATGTATGCCAGTCTTGCCAAGGTTGAAAAACACGTGGTCAAGAGGTCTGTCAGGAGTCTCAAGGAGCCTTGAATGCCATGCTAGGTAGCAGTGCTTTTTTAATTAAAGTAGGATGAGGCTTGCAACCAGTGGGTTAGGAAACGTCCTAGGATTTTTAATCAGTTCAACTCATCCTTTCATAGTCTGGTAGACCGCTCAGTGGGCAGCTCTCAAGCCTCAGTAGTGTAAGTAAGTAACACTTAATCTGTTCACAGTCAGCCTTGTTAGCTGCGCAGCACACTGGTTCTTGTGAGTGGGGCTCTGGTCCATGTTGACTTCATTCTTATGTGGTGTCTTTTCTGTGAACTTGGCACAGCCATTCTTGGCAGACAAGTCCCTCAAATCCCAGGCTGCCGCTGCCCTGTCCCGGGCAATTAGTACCCAATTAGTTGCAACCATAAGGCACTGCTGAGTGTGATACTCTGCAAACATTCTGGGGGGAGGGGCACCATTGTCCCTACCCTATGAGCCCATGTACCACTTACTCTGTCTGGCTCCAGCCCCTCAGCCAGCAGAGGAGCCAGCGGGGCCCATTCCCTCCTGCCCCCCTCCTACCTGGACAGGTAAGTGTGGGCGAGGGGGGTCACAGCTGGGCATTGGGGCTACCAACCCCATCCCCGGCCCCCCCTCAAGTCCCTACATGGGGAAGTTTGGAGGGGCTGCAAAAGCCAGCAGGTTCCTTGCTGAGGAAAATGTGTGCCCAGATGGGGAGCATTGCTCCCTGCTCTTGGGCCCTCCCTTGTCTGCTTGCCTCATCATTTTCTCCTCTTGTCTCCATAGCTTCCGCCCTGCGCTGCCCGTCTCCTACCTGCAGGCCGAGTTGGCCTTCGAGGGCGAGGCCGCCTGCCGGGCCTTCCTAGAGCCCTTGGGCCTGTCCTACACGGGCCCGGACAACTCCAGCGTGGATTGCCGCCTCAGCCTGGCGCAGCTGCCAGCCTTCTGAGCACCCATCAAGCACGGGCGGGGGTCAGGGCTGCAGCCCAGTGCCGCCTTTGCGGATTTTGTTTTTGAGCCATGGACATGGGTTGTAAATTAATTTGTAGGGAGTGGGCTCCATGAAGAGCCAGCATCCCTACCCCGTTTCCTACCGGGGACCTGTACAGAGATTTTTCTACGTTTTTATTTTTTGTCTCAGAGGGGATAATTGGGAGTATAGTGGAGGAGGGTGGGGTGGGGCTACAGGTTCTGTGTCCACCTCTCACCTCCACTAATGCTGTCTCAGTGTTTTTTCTCTCTCTCTCTCGAGCTCCTACTCCAGCACCTGACCCTGCGTGCTGGCCCATCCCAAGCTAGGGGGCCAGCAGAAAGAAGACAGGCCGTCCAGCCCATACCCGCCTGCAGCGGGGCACCAGCCCAGCCACAACCATTGCCTCGTCTGCTTCTTCATAGACTCTTGCCTTTGGGGCCTCAGTGTTTGGGGTGAGGGGAGCTGCTTAAAGACTATGCCCCACCTTCAAACCCTCACCCCAGAAAAGCCAGCCAGCACCACCGACACAGCCAGACCAGCGCCACACCGCACTGAGGACTCCAAGGCCTTCGCGGGACCATGCCAGCCGGGCTGCCTCGTCTTAATTCAAGTTGTATTAAGTTGTCTCCGTGTCCCTTCCTCCCTCTGCCCCAATGTTTCTTCTGATTTTTTTTTCCCTTCCCTCCCTCCCTCTTCCTCTTCCCTTCCCACTCCCTGGTTCAACACAGGTAAAACGGTTACCCTCCCTTTCTTCCCCTCTGCCTTCATGGATCACCAACTCACGTCATGTTTCCTTCTCTTTTCTCTGTGTGTGTGTTTATTTAAGTTATTTTTCTTTTTCCCTTTTCTTTTCACTCCCCCCCCCCCTTTCTGCCCTTTTACTGGAGGATGTGCTATTAGGTTGCAAACAGCTGGACTGTCAGGCTGCTTTTTTTCCAGATGCCTTCCTGCCTTCCCTCCCTACCTCCCCCCCCCCCTTCCTTCATTCTCCTTGAGCATTGAGTACAGTAAATTTTGGAAGCTTGAAACCAAAATTAAAGAGAGAGAGACAGAGAACTTGGTCTGTTTCTTCTCTGAAGTTTGGAGCCTTTGTCACTTAAGGGGAATCTCAGCGAGGGGCAGGTAGTTATGCCCTGCTCTGGCCATGCGGCACAGCCAGAGTTTCCTTAAGGGGTGCCTCCCTAGCTCCTGGTTCAGGATGAACCCAGGCTTAGGAAGGCAGACCTGAGATCCACGTGGCACCTTAGCCAGGGTTAGGTGTGGCTGTAGTTGCCCTGGCGGCTGTACCACTCTCAACCCTTCAGCTTTTAGCCTTTGATTCAGAGTTTGGGCCATGCCTGCCAGTGTTGGGGAGGGTGTGGCACAGAGCACATGATGGCCCAGAAGAACCAAGTCCCGGAACTGTAGTTCAGAAGGTGCTTGAAGCCCTGGTGTCAAGAGGGCTTTCCTCAGAGCCCTAGCTGCTGCAGCCTCCTCTCCAGGGCCTGTCAGCCTTAATAAGACCATTGTCAGGTGCAGGGCCGGTGCTGGTACCAGAAATGCAGCACAGGAAGGGGCAATCTGGACCAGATGCTCTTGGGCCTTGACCACTTCAGCCCTAAGCCCAGGCTCTGTCACCATCAGTGCCACGAAATGTGTAGGCCGGGGCTGGCGAGGGGCCCTTCTGTCATCAGGCCAAGCACCTGGCTCCCACTCGCTTTCCATCTCTTCAGCAGAAAGTCCTGACGTTTCCGTGGCCCGCGCCTGCCACCACGGAAGCGGTGTAGCCCTCGACACCTCTACTGAGTTCATGATCTCTTTTACCCCTGAAAAGCACATGCTTGGGTCTGGTGTTTCTAACTCAGTTGTCCCATTCAAGATGATCTCTTTTGTTGCCCCATCCACTTTATGTGTCCCCAGGCCCAAATCAAGCCCAGTTCTGGTCTCTTTGATTGCCTCACCCTCTTTGTGTGCCTCCAGACAGGAATCAAGACCAGCTCCAGGAAGGTTTCCACCACCTTCGCTAGGGATGGCCTGGCCCTCAGAAGCCACCCCTGTCTTCTTTGTGTCAGAAGTTTCTGGCGAGACCTCTGGCCAGTGCTCGTTCCCACCGTCCAGTGCATCGAGTATGGTGGGTCCCCGTCCAGCCACAGAGCCCGAGCCAAAAATGAGGTCTGTACGTGAGTCACGGTCCCACACTAGGCAGCCCCGGAAGCGGAAGTAGCGAATACGGTGCTGCGGCACTGCTAACACATCAGGTCCCAGCGCTGCCAGCGGCTCGTCCCAACAGAAGGCGCAGAAGGGCTCCTCCTGCACACCCAAGAAGCGGTCGGTGTAGCCAACCGAAAAGTCAACAGGGTCCAGGCGCGGGTCCCAGCGGATGCGCTGGATGACGTCAGCGGCAGTACGCAGAGCCGGCTTCTTGGACTCAGTGTCTGTCTGAGAGACTTTGGAGGACAGCGCTGGGGCCCCGGGATGCGGCCGACGGCAGCGCGCACCAAAGCGACAGCGGCCCTCTAGGAAGAAGCGGCAGGCCGCGGGCCCCTCAGAGGAATCGGTCCAGGCCTCCATGGACGCGCGGTCCACAGCGCTGAGCCCCAACTGTGACGCCAGGAGCCCCGCCTGCTTCACATAGAGGGAGGCCAACGAACTAGGCGGAGCATCAGAACTGTTCACTGCCTATGGCGCTCCCGGTCCACGCCCAGCTTCTAGGCCAACCCAAAATGACACCCTTCCCTGGGGAGGGGTTACCTTAGTGAGCCTGGTCCCTTCCAACCAGTCAATTTACATGTATATCAAGCTTCTCAGGAACTCAAGGGAGCCATGTCCCATTCCATCCAACTACTTTATATGTGCTCCTCCTTTTGGGGGCTTTAGGGAGACAGTTACCACCCTACGAAAATACTTTACAAATGCTCCTTGCTTCTCACGGCCTCATGGGAGCCTCGGAGTAAGGCTTCTCTCCACCCAACTGATCTACATATACTCTGCCACTGGGGTAGGACTTAGAGAGCCTAGCCCTCCATCTTCAGATACTTTGCTTGTGCCCAGCCCCTTCTCAGGCCCTCTAGGAAGCCGGGGCCAGCAGCCTGTGATTTACCTGTACACGGTTGGGGGAGGAGAGGAAGGCCCACTGACGGACTTACATACCACACCTCACTATGAGTAGAGTGACTGGTGGTCCCGCCTCTGTCAAATTACTTATCAATACCCGGCCCTGTCTTTCCTGGGAGCCCTACCCTCTGCCGTGGTTCCCCCCCAACCTGAATGTTTAACATTCCCCGCCCCTCGTTGGTCATAACCTGGTCTTTCCACAGCTGTCCAGGGCAGGTCTTGCTCCTGGTCCCCAGCGTAGAAGTTGACATATACAACCCACCCCTCTAGAAACTTTAAAAGACCTTATTCTGCCTCCAGTTAATTTAAATTGGTCATGCCCCTCCAGGGACCTAAGATAGCCCCGCCCCAAACCCAGTGATTAATTCTAGTGTCCCACCCTCTGGGAACCTTCGAGAATCTTGCTCCACCCTCAGTCCACGAGAAAGACACAGGCTGCCCCGCATCTCTGGGATGTTAAAACATCCGAACATCTATCTGTGGGCTCAGGCTGAACTTTGTGCCCAGATCTGTGACGCAACAGCCACCTACAGGGCGACACACAGTTGGTGGGAACAGAAGCCTTTCCTACAGGAGCGACTCCACTTCCCTTAGCAGCCACTCCCCCCCCCCAAAAAAAAAAAAAAAAACGGCGGCACCACCCAGTCAGAGTGCACCTGGAGGAATGTATACGGCAGGCCAGGCGACCTGTGACTCTTAAAGCCAAAATTTCCCCCACCTGATGTTAAACCAGCCACCGGTGTGGACTTCATCCAGGTGGCAGTGAGGATGGGTCAATATTTGAAGAATGAATAAGGCTGCAGGGAGGCCAGGTGCGAGACTCCGCCCTTTGGGAGGGGCATTACATGAATGCGCCTTCAAACTCTTAAAGGAGCATCATTAACACAGACTTGACTTTTAGTTGGTGGTACCCCACTACTGTCCTGCTTCTGCACCCCTTCCCGCATGATGTGAATAGACACAGCCCATGGTACAAACCTCACCGTTTATGTGTACAAAAACGGGGTGTTGGGAGGGAGAGGTGACGGGAATCTGGAAGCTACAGACCAATGACGTCATCCAACTGGAGGTCAGCATTGGAGCAGCAGGGGACCTTGGGGTGCTGCATTCCAGGGTGGGCATCTCCCTCGGGCTTGGTGGCTGTTGCCTCGGCACGCTCCGCGTCCATTACGCCTAGCACCGCGTCCAGCATGGAGGGGCCCAGGTCTAGGTGGAAGGACAGCAGTGGGTCCGCAGGTGAAGGCATTAGGAGGCCAGGAGCAGCAGGCTGTGGGCCTGCAGGTGGAGGGACAGAATGTGGGACCCCAACTGGCGGAGCTTGGGGTTCAGGGGGCGGGCCTCCTCCGTGGCGACTCAGGAACGAGGTGTCCCCGAAGGCGTCGCCACCGCGTCCCACGTGCAATGTGTGCCTGAAGTCTCCAAGGGGCGCTGAGATAGACAGTGCTCCCCGGTCCAGTCGCTTCTTGGGCTGTGCGTGGCCTAGCTGCTTCAACACCGGCATCTGTGGGGTTACAGGTGTATCAGAGCTGCCTCACCCTGGTGCCCCAACTCTGCGTCCCAAACCCACCTAGTCAGCCACAAGAATGCTCTCATAAGGCAAGACTGTGCTGGGTTTATTATTCTCGGTTAACAAGTGAGGAAACCCAGGCTGTGAAAGGCTCCCAAGGCCACTACTGCTGGACTCAAGTCTCAAATGTCATTTTTAGGTTTTCCTGAATCTGACATGTCCATGACTTTAGCTGGTCTTGTACGTATGCTGTGGGCTCTTCATTTTCCCACCCTTTATATCCCCCCCGCAACACGCCTGTTTCACCCCCTACAGTAGATAGAGGAGAGAGAGGAATTAGGAAAATTCCTCAATCTAATTTCTTTCCTTTTGTTTCATCTTTGACTAGTAAACTGCAGCCAAGCTCCCTAAATGACGAACACTGACCATCTCTCTTGAGGCCCACACTTTTAGGTACCCTATGAAAAGTTCCCAAAATTCCAAATGTTACACAATTGCAGAAATTATGTGAAGCTGGCAAAACTACACTTCTGCTACAGCATAAGGCATATATAGTCAGCTGCTGTGGACTGTCTGAAGCAGCCTCATCCCTACACCCAGGATTAAAACGAAAGCACATTCTCATAATAATATTGTTTATTTGTTTGTTTGTTTGTTTGTTTTCAGAGCTGAAGACTGAACCCAGGGCCTTGCACTCCTAGGCAAGGGCCCTACCACTTAGCTAAATCCCCAACCCCTATTTTGTGTTTTTTAAAGAAACCAAAATTTCAAAATTCTCACTACATATGACCATTATTCTATGTGGTCACCCCAATCACTAATATTTGAGCATTCCTGTAGGGTAGATATCAAAAAACTACTTTTGGAGTGCTTCCCAAGGAGGCTAGTGAAAAACAAACAAGGACTCCAGTTAGCTTTAGCTATAGATGAAGGCTAGATACAGATCAGCAGCACCCATTCTTGAGGACAGGGCAGACTCTGTCCACTGCGAACCCCAGGCACAGGTCTAGGGCCAATCACACACTCAAATTCCCTCCCATCCAAACACAGAAGTGGACCAAGAAGGCTCTACAGAGCATGTGCACAAGTCAATGTACATACCACATGAAGATTCTCATTTGGGAGGTTTAGTGTGATTGAGGGGAACTATTTATTTACACAGAATTTTATGATTAAAATGATCTGCTTTGGGAGAGACTATGATTCAGCAGTATAACTTCTCATATTTTGTAAAACAGTAATAATAAAGCAAATGCCTAATATATTAAAACTTGGCAGTGGGGGGGGGGATAGAGAGATGGCTCAGAAGTTCATGGTGTTTTCTGTTCTTCCAGGGGAGGGAAGTTCTGACGCCAGTACCCAATTCCTACAGCTTACAATGTCCTTCCTATAACAACAGCTCCAAACATTTTGATGACCTCTGCTTGCCTCAGGCACTGTTCTCTCTCTCTCTCTCTCTCTCTCTCTCTCTCTCTCTCTCTCTCTCTCATGCAGAAACATACACATTCTCAGCACGCATGTGGTGGTTCACAACCATCCATTACCAACAGTTCCAGAGGATCTGATGCCTGCCTCTGACATATGTGGGCACCAAGCATTAATGTAGTGTAGACACAAACACACACAGACACAAACATGTAGGCAAAACCTTCATAGAAAAAAATGAAATGAATAAATCTAATAAAAAATCAGCAAGAATGTCATGTTTGTGGCTGTGAGCTGTAAACCAAATGTGCAGTTTGCTAGATTACTACACCACACCTGTCTGGGTGGTGACTACAAACCCAGCAAGCCTTCCCATACCCTGGAGCTTGGTCTTTTTCCTCGAAAACTGTGGGAGTGACTTGGCCAACTCTGTAGTTTTAAAACTCACTGCTACTATGTCTGATGAAGCCCCTTGTTTCTCTTTCATCAAAACCCCACCCTTTCCAGTTAGGTAAATCTCCACACTTTACTCTTTGTGTTTTCCTGTCTGTACAGCAGACACTACTGATTCCTTGCAGAGCACACAGAAACAGCGACTTAAGGAAAAGCCTATTCTTAATACTAAGTATTGCCAACTGGTAGTGCTAGTTTTGAGAGAAGAAAAGGCAGTGCCACCCAAACAATAACTTCAGAACAAAGATTAGATTTAGTAAAACTGGACAAGGATAGCAAGGCAGCCAACACTCTTTCAGCACTAAGCACCCAGGGAAGTATAAATGATGACGTGGACACAATCTAGAGCCAAAACTGCTTGAAATAATTTAGATGTAGTCTAAGAAATGTCCATGCATGTATGCACATGTGCACACTGTACATGTGTTCTTCTCTGTCAGGGACTTACCCCAGGATCTCACACATGCTAAGAAACCTCTCTACCACTGAGATAAGTCTCAGCTCTTAATGTGGGTGTGGGAATCAAACCCAGGTCCTCAGGAAGAGCAGTCCATGCTCCTAACATCTGAGTCTTGGCTCTTAGCACTGCTATACCCCTTTCCCAAACCTCTCTTTTGTTTTTCCTTATGGGACAAGATCTTACTACATTGTTTAAGCTGTCCTTGAACTCACTTTGTAGCCCAGACCTTGAATTTCATTATTTTCCTGCCTCAACAACCCAGTAGCTGGGATTACATGCCTAACCCTCAATATTGGTGTTTGTTGTTGGTGGTTTTGAGAAGATTCTTTTGTTGTTTGTTTTGTCTTATAGAGATAGCATCTCACAGGCAGCTCATGGCAACCCTCCTGCCTCAGCCTCCCCAAGTTCTGAGCTTACAAACCTGTGCAGTCTTGTCCATTTCTGAAACCATTCTTACTATACCAGTTCCATTCTGCCCTTAACTTAGCTGAATAAACATATTTTTATTGTAACTTGACACACAATCACCATTCCTTTCTTTCACCATAATGTAAACAAAAGTGTTGATGGACTGAGACCTGCCCTCAACAATTTAGCAGGTACTTGGATTTTCCCATTTTTAAATCACTAGTAAATATTGAGCCATAGTTAGCCACAAAAAATCCTTTCTAGGTGAAAGTGATGCCCTTCATCTCTATGCTTGCTCTGTAGTGAGAAGTGAAAAGAGGTAGAATTCAGAGAACCAGCTGCTCAGGTTTGGATATGGCTGCTCCAGCTGCTCCAGCAACTGGCTGGAGCAGTTGCTGTGTGGCTTTGGATAAGCAATGTGACCCTCTGTTCTTGGTTGTTTCATTTGTCAAGTGAGACACCAATAGAATGCTCCATCTTAGCAAAGCACACAGTAGGTATTCAATAAGTAAATGCTGTTTAGAATTCTACCCTCTTTTTGTTGGAGTGCCAAGAATCAAATCTAGAAATAGCTAACATACTGGTTGTTAATCAAGCATTTTCTACCATTAAACCATGCCCCTAGTACCTCACTGGTGAATTCCAAGCCGGTACCCTAGCACTAAGTAATCCTTAACCCCTTACTGGAGAATTCTAGGCAGATGTTTTACCACTGAGTCATGCTCCCAGCCCCTTACTGGGAAATTCTAGGGAAACACTCTGCCATGTAGCTACACCATTAGCCTTTAAAGGAAAAGAAAATTTTAGTGTGGCACCTTTAATCCTAGCACTTGGGAGGCAGAGGCAGTCAAATATAAATTCAAGGCTAGCCTGGTCTATGGAGTAAATTTCAGGATAGCCAGGATTACACAGAGAAATCCTGTCTCAAAAAAAAAAAAAATTTTTTTTTTAAACTTTTTTAGATAGGACCTCATTAAGTTGCCCAAACTGGTTTTGAGTTCACTCTATTACCCAGACAGAATGTGAATATGTGATCCTCCAGCCTCAGCCTTTACTCCCTAGTACCTGGGATTATAGGCCTGCATGTATAGGTTCATCTAATATCACAATATGTAACATTACATATACTAGGGCTGGAAATTTGCCATCTTTTTTTCTTATGGAATCCTGATCAGCACCCTTAACCTTTTGCTGAATTTATCCTCTGAAAATCAAGAGCCAGATCCCTTTTTGTTAAAGGATGGCAGGAAACATGCATGACCTGTTTTATTTCCCAAGTACTTTCTCAGGGCTGAGCACTGGCTTCATTTATCTTGAAAGAATGCACAAACCATTTAATCCTCCGAATAATAGAAGGAATGGAAGATGACAATTTTATTTATTTTTTAATGATGAGACACAGAAAGACTCAGTAGCTGGCTATGGGTCACACAGGAACAAATTCTGGATTTAGAACAGGCTGATGAAGTGTGAAATGTAAAGAAGCTATTGCAGTTGCCAGCCACTCACAGGAGGTGGACCCACATAAAAAAGGGGGGAAAAGTTTAAATTTGATATAATTGATATATCAAATTATATTTGATATAATTTGGTACCTTACCTGGTTTTGTTTTTCTTTTCTAATCGATATGGGTGTGTGTGTGTGTGTGTGTGTGTGTGTGTGTGTGTGTGTTTGGGGGGGTGTCTTTAAAAGAGCTTTTGTGGGGCTAGAGAGATGACTCAGCTGTTAGGGTTAGGGTCACAACCAAAAAAGAGTTTTTGGAGGTGGATATGGTGGCACATGTCAGTGTTTAAAAGGCAGAGGTAGGTGGCTATTTTTAAGTCTAAATATGGCCAGCCTGGTCTACCTAGAGAGTTTCAGGCCAGCCAGGACTTACATAGCTCTTGGGCTGGAAAGATGATTGATTAATTGTTCAGGGGGCAAGGGTACTTGCTGCACAAACCTGAGGACCTGAGTTCAAACCCCCAGCACACAGTTAAAACCCTCTCAGCCCGCACTGTAGATTGCAGGGGCAGGAAGCTAGCTGGGTTGAATAAGAGACCCTCCCCATCTCAAGAGAGCATAGCAGGACCTCTCTGGCCTAGGCTTTCACATCCCCTAGCATATCTGCATGCACACACTCCATGCATGCCTCTCCCACACGAACAGACCCCTGCCCCTCCAGGCTGGCCCTGAGACCTTGAGCCTAGGTGTCCTGTACACAGAGATAGAATATGCTTGCTGCAGGGCTGTTAAACCCAAGGCAATGCGGTCATTCTTGGAAAAAGTTCGTCATCAGCCTAGGCTCTTAGAGAGGGACTGTTGTTAGGGATCAACGCAGATCCCTAAGCAGACAGGAAACAAGAACGCACATGCAACCCAGTCCGCCCTTACACACGTTCGGATAAGCTCTATTTTCTGACCACTCTTCTCCCACTCCCTTTCCTGCCTAGGCACTGCGTGGATCCTGCTGCAGGGGTGGGGGTCAGAGCTGGTTCACCTCTGTCCTCTCTGAGCCCCAGCCCTGCCAGGACGGAAATAACCTGCTTCAGAGCTGGCTGGACTGGTTCTCAGGCTAGAGGAGGGTGGAGCCCAGACCTGGCATGGGACCCCACCAGGAGACCCCTGGAATCTTAGGACTGGTAACCCTTTTCCTAAAGCCACAAGGCTGCAGCAGGGACTTCAAAGGCCCTGGTCTGTTTGGTAACTAGTCTGTCTCTTTTTTCCCTTCTTGTTGAAGACCCCTGCCCACTACGGCCTCCTCACCTCGGGTCCTAACTGAATTGGACTCCGGCTCAAGCTGTGGTCCCTCCTGGCTTCGGAGGCTACCTCTTGGCGCCCCCTTTCCTTCTTTCTCCAAGCGGGATCTCACCTGGCCAAAAAAAAAAAAAAAAGTGTCCTGCCAAACCTGGAAGGGACTCCAGGACCTAGGCACGCGGTCTGGGTCTACCGCCTCAGGCCGGGTCCCGAAGTGGGGTCCCAGGAGCCCCACCTCCTCGCTCTCTGGTTTCACAGGCAGGGAGTCCCCCTGCTTTTACTCTCTCACATTCCAGGGGTCCAGGATTCTGCATTTTCTGCCGTTTCCCGCCCTCCTCCCTCAGACCCAAGAGATTAAAACCCACAGTCTGGTAAGCCCTCTTCCAAAGGGCTGTGGTTCCCTCTTACCAGCACCGGGAATAAGCTTCAGCCCCTCTCTGGGGCCATGGCAGCCTCCTAAGCGAGCGCGGAGTCAACGCCCAGTCTGCCTAGCTGGTCTAGGTTAATCGTCCCGGGTTGAGAGGGTTAAGCCCTAGGCCCCTCCCAGCCTTTCTTATTCCCCCAAAGTTTGCCTGTAGGATTTAAAGGACTAGAAAGCCTGGACGTTGCAAAAGCCGAGGGCCCCTTGAGTGGCTTTTGGGGGCAGGAGGAGTCCAAGGCTGAACGTGCTGGGAAGCCAGGGCAGTGCTCGGGGGATGGACAGGCGAACCCCCACCCCAGCTCCTCCCCCTGCCCAGCTTGGAATTTCCTGAAACCAGGGAAGTCTGGCTGTTTTAGAAGAGTAATTTCTTCCAGATTGCAGCTGTTGAAGGAGTGGGGTGTGTGTGTGTGTGTGTGTGTGTGTGTGTGTGTGTGTGTGTGTGTG